TCCATCAACTTCCTGCTTAGAACACCAGCAGGAATGTAATTCTCTCTGAAGGCCGCAGTAAACTCCTACCAGGTCACCTGGTGATCCACCGGCTGTATGACATTGAATGTGTCCAACCATGCACTAGTTGATCCCAACAGTTGTTGCGCTACAAATCGCACCTTCTGCTCCTCAGTTATGGTGAGTAGCAAAAACTTTTGCTCTAGAATACGAAGCCAATGCTCCGCATCCAGAGGCTCAGCCGTCTGCGTGAATGTGAGTGGGTGCATCTTCAAGAAATCCTGATAAGAGTAGGGTCCCTCGGGACCGTGGGCACCACCCCCGTTCCCACCATTGCCCCCATGGCCTCCATGGGCGAAGCCACCGATAGCCTGTGCCAGCAGCTCCATGGCACGGGCTGACTCACGACGAGCAGCCAACATCTCCGCCATCATCTCCGCATGAGTCATTGGAGGTGGTGGCATAGGAGGAGAAGCTAGAAGTGGGGCCTCATGGCTCTCCCTGTTGCCGTGCTCATTGCCCCGGCCACTTTCACCTTGGCCTTCGCCAAGACCATGCCCTGCTCTGGCACTGGTGCTCCTGCGACCGAATCTCAAGTTCATCTAAAAACAGATAGAAACAACCATTTAGAATAACCCTCCAGATCAGAAACAAGAGATTAGAGAAATGATAAGACATTTATTAAAGCATTCTTTTAGATTATCATATCAATTCACTAATCCAAATTATACGTGTAGGGAGAGTTTAGTTTAAGCAAGATTCTCTTATCATGATGCATGCATCGGCCTATACGTCCACTCAAACCGGAATATACCGGCATTTCCAAGAATTTTCGGCACATCGCACACTCGCTTTCTGTATGCAAAATGATTCTTACGCAGCGTAAGTTAGTGTACCTACATAAAACTGATTAGATAACACCAGTGTCGCTATCCTAGATAGACCATATTGCTAGGGCTTATACTTATTTACATAATTTTATCGCATCCTACTTTTTGCAAAACTTTTGTTGGTCAAATTTTAGGTTTTGGAAAAGAGTGATGAAACTCATAGATTCATTATTGGCTCCGATACCAACTATGGCAGAACCGTCTGAAATAACGCACTTACGAAGGTGCTTGTCTTCCACTAGACAATAAGCACCCTGAGAGCGAGCTACATCGGGTGGGTTCCGTCAAGCACACCCCAAGGGAGAGCTCGAATAATCCATATTTTTCCCTCATGATCCAATAATGAGAACTCCCCGCCCCCTCTAAGGGGCCGATGCTCAACTAGATGCAAACGCGAAGCAGTGGGCGGTGAAGAGATGAACGGGGACACGGTCAGGATCTCCCTCCATGGCGGCGGACAACCTACGACGGCGGCAACCCTGTTTTGTCGAGCTCCACCACCGGAGAAGAAATACGGACAGCGGATAAGCATTAGGGTCTCACCGCGATCCTACCCAAAGTGGTGGTGCGTCCGGAGACTACCTCAGTCGAGTCGGCCACGTGCGAGCGGCAAGGCGACGGTGAGCCGCGTAGGCACGGCCACGTCAGCATCTATGGTGCGCACGTCGAGGAGGACTACGATGCGGGGCTAGGGGTGCAGCCAATTTGGCTCGAGATGATAGGGTGGGTAGTGCCTAGGTTAACGGCGGGCTTAGCCTTTAATGGCACAACGGTGGAGACCCTACTCCAAATTGGAGCTTGCCAAGGCGCGATTGGACATGGTGCGGGGTTGGTCGGCTAGCAGGCTCGAAGACAGAGTCAGGAGCACACCGAATTGAAGAGACATGACCCATCCATGCCGGATTGATGGTGCGGCCAGGCAGGCCCGGGCAGCAAAGGAGGGAGGGAAAAGGGAATGGGTCCAGCTGCTTGTCCAAGCTTTGGCGGGACGCGGTGGCCGCACATGCGTAAGCACTGCGAGCCAACATAGCTAAGAGGGGGGCGTACCCGCGTGCGGGCGGTGGCAGCGCAGTAGCGCGGTCGTGGCGCCGTTAATGGCGAAACGACACGCGCGTGACCTCGGCAAGGCCACGTGCATGAATTCGTGATGACAACGACCCAGAGGCGCAGGTGGACGCGATGGTAGCATGTTGTGGCGCGACGGTGATAGCGCGGCGTAGCATGGTGATGGGACGGCGGCAGTGACACGGTGAGGCAGGCGACAGCGGACCGGCCAGGGCATCGGGCCCGCGACGACAGCGGCAGGCAGAGCGGCTAGGCCAACTGGCCCCCAGCGACCCGTCAAACGCGGCGGTGCGCGGCGCGGGCGTGTGCATGCTCTGCTCGTGCAACACGTGCCTAGGCGCGGTAGCGGCGACTCGGAGCCTACGTGGCGGTGCGCGTGTGCGCGCGCTGGACGAACCGACGCTGCGACGCCGAGTACGGAGGCACGGTGACCGCGCCCAGTCGCTGAAACTAGCCAAGAGCATGTTGCGCACGATTTTTAAAGCGTTCGAAAAATTTAACATGTTGACCTAATCGTCCAACCACCTATGCAATTCTTAAGAGGGCATATTAGGCTACTAAAACAAGCCCTAAAACCACAACACTCCTTAACCGAATTACTCTACAAAAGTTGTCAAACACTGCTTTGTCAAACCATTTCTCAGACTTACGAAATCGACTAAGTCTTGATCGGATTCGCGTCAAATTCAATTTCCAACCTATTAGACCAGTTAGCTAGTGAATTCATTATTCGACCGCAGGTATTTCATCGTCATCTATAAGGTTTGTACTTCTAACTTTATTAAAGTTCCGTATATACGTTCTATAGTGTTTTCGTTCAATAAAAATTTGTGAACATCCGTACTTGATAATTTCATACGTCACGAATAGCCTTTCGTTATGTATTTCCGTTGGTCTTTTTAAGTTACGTAAATTGATTTACACCCTATATTACATATATTAACACATAAATATGATGCTCATACAATATTTTAGTCAACGATTTATAGTGTAACACCGAGGGTGTTACACAGCCCCTTTACGGCTTCATAGAAGCCTCAAAGGGGCTCGGGGGCTCCTGTCGGGTTCATAAACCCGGGGCCCCCAATGGACCCGCTTTCCCTGCAATACTTGGCCCAGCAGGCAGCGCAAAGACAACGCGCATTTGGGCCGGCCCAGATACACAATGACGGGCCGAGACCACGATCCGGTCCTCGACCGGCACCTCCGGCCAGGAGACCTGGTCGGAGCCCCAACCGAAAGGCCCGGCCGTGGTGGGACCATAGCTCGACTCCGACCACGTTTCTTCGACCGGGGATATGTCGGACCTTTGCTCGCCTCTCTTTCTCGACCGACATGGTCGGGGCCGACTGAGAACGACCAACCAGGACGCCTACTCGATGTGGGCCCGGGGAGCAGGCGGAGCAAATAAGGTAAGGCGCTCAAGTCAACCGCAATACCGAGGACCGTACCCTGCCATGCCCTGCGTACCTACAGGACGGTGCCGCCAGACCATGTCAGACGGACACTATACAGCCTTGCAGACGCGTCAGAACACAAACAGTATTATGGGCGTCGTCGTTTGTCGTCCCTGGCGAACAACATACACTGACTGCCGTCATGAAACAGAAAATGTGGGCGAACAACTGCATGCGACTGTCGACATCTGACATGTCATGAACAGTAATGTGGGCGATGGTGTGCCGTACCCGATGGCGTGGACAACAAGACTAGGTAGCACACGTACACATTCTCTCTCTTTCCGTTTTTGACTTATAAGGCTATCCCCTTCATCTATAAAATGAAATGCGCTCTCTCCTAAAAGGACGACGGCTAAATAGCTCAACAGCTCTAGAGCTCGATAGCTACATAGTCTACACGCTCTCAACAGCTGATAAATTCGGACACAAAGAGCATACACTCCAGTACTTATCACATGTTTGAGCATCTGTTACTCTCTTCCACTCGGTTCAGAGTTCGACCGGCCTCTAACACTCTCTTTCTATTTCCTACTCATTTGTAACCCCACGGCAAACTTCGAGCACCTAAACTCAAAAATAAAGTCACTGACCGACTGAAACTAAATGTAGAGCACGTTGTCTGAACCAGTATAAATTCTATATCATCGCGTGTAGAGCACGTTGTCTGAACCAGTATAAATTCTATATCATCGCGTGCTAGGCCACATCAATCACAAAGTTAGGTAAAATTACAAATATTTACTTTTGCCACGTTTCGCACCGACGCCATACAACTCAAATCATTCGATCGGTAGCCCTACAGTATTCTACGCGGTTTCCTCTGCTGATGTACTCCAAAAGGAGATCTCAAATTAAACGCGGGTTTCATGCTGAAGCCAAAAAAAAATGAAATAAATATAAATACGAGTAATGAAAAGAAGACTAGGACTACTTGGATGTCATTGGAGGCTTCTTAGCGAGACTTGATCGTCAGGCCTTGATCAGTCCATTCCGTCCACGTCTGAAAACTATATCTTTTTTTTTTTTTTGAGACACTAGCAGCTGTATGTATCCTGTCCCTGTGTCCTATAGTGATTTTGTTGCTTTGATGAAGGATTTGCAGGGTGATGGGGTGCGGAGGTCAAACACACGCGTATATACTTCATAAAATTTGTTTGAAAATTAGAGGTCTAAACTACTATTAAAACTGGAGCGTCAAACAAGCAGATACTAAGAAAAGATCAGGTTATGGCACAAAGCTTAGTATCTTTCTATTGGATAGAATCGACAAACAAAAAACACGGTAAGTTTTAATCTACTATGAATATAAGATATCATTGTACATAGGCAAATCGCCTTTTACAGTATGAGATCATGAAGCGAGAAATCACCCCGCATTATTTCAGTACTGTCAAAGAATGAATCAAATAGATCAAATAATAAAACGAATAGTTCTACGACAAAGAATGGATGTTAAAATCCCCACAAAATAACGCCGACTCATGAAAACTTTCGCCAGCGAAGTAACATGATGTCTACCTATCCTGCCTTCCACCAGTCTGTTAGTGCTACTGGCTAGAGTTTTGGTCCAGTTTCTCCAATTAGGTTAGGAACTTGAAAATTTCTGTAACTGCAAGATCACGACACTGATATCATCAGTTGAGCCCCTGGAAATCGAGGTCTCAGTGAGCATCCTGCAGGCAGCCATGCGAGAGGCCTTGTCATTGTTAATGCAGAGAGGTCGTGCGAGGTCTACTGCCTCCTGATTATCGATCTTATCCCAGAGGCCATCAGAAGCAAGTATCAAGAACTCGCACTGCTGGTCAACCAGGAGCGTCCTGGTCTCTGGGTCAGCCACAACCCACTGCTTTAGGTGTCCATCCCCAATGCCCCTAGACACTGCCAGGGAGCCCTGGACTCGCCACGTTCCGCGGTAATTCACCACAAATCCACCCTGAAAAGCAAATGAGCAGGCACATAAGCAAAATTGCAGAACAATGTATAATTCATGTATGCTCGATTGTGTTAATTAATTGCTCAATCATATAATTGCTTCAGCTTCAGTGCATTTTCAATTGCATTAGCAGAGTTTGTGCAAGAAATGAGAAGGCTAGGACATCCTGGACATACCAAATTCTCAATTCTCTCCTTCTCATCCTCCCGGGAGGCCCGGTGGTCGGAGGTGAGCGCCTCTGCCTTCCCTGCTCGGCTGAGCACCGCACGGCAGTCTCCAGCATTGGAGACGACCAGTCCACCCTTTTGGAGAACGGCTGTGACGCAGCACGCGCCCCCGCTCTCGTCCCTCTTGAGGAACTCCTCGTCCGTCTTCAGGTAACCCCTTTTCACAGCTCCTTCGATCTCTCCGCCGTTTACCTTCTTGAACTCCTCGGCAATAAACTTGGGCATGTTCTCAGCAGCGAACTCTGCCGCGTTTTTACCGCCGTGACCATCGAATACACCAAACAGCGCCTGAGAAGATGGAATAAGTCGATTAAGTTCTAGTAGTCCTGAAGGCAATTTCAGAGCAAACAACGCAAATTTTCCGCCCCAAAACACCCGAATAGTCGCCACTGAAGGACAATTCCAAGTTCGTCTTATTTTTTCAAAATCACGAGAAAAAACACATCGAAACAGAGAGTCAGAGAGATTTTCAATCGAGATTACCACTTGGGGATCTCCGCCAAGAGCGACCTTGGCCACATGCCGGTCCTCCATTTCCACCCTTCTCCTCCCCTTCCCCTCCGGCAGTACGCCGCGAACTCCTCCCCCTCCTCCTCCACCTCATTTCTCGGATCTGCCTCCACAGCAGCCACCGCCGCCGCAGCAGCAGCCGCCGCTGCCGCGCCAGACGCCGGCACAACGAGCGGCGCCGGTCGCCGTCGCTTCAGCACGGCCCCGCTTGGTGCCGAGGCCACCGCGGTAGCGGCGGGGGCCGGCTGGGCCGACGGAGACGGGGAGACCTCCTCCCGGAGCAGCGCGCGAAGCGCGAAGGGGCGGAGCGGCGAGCCGGCGGCGGCGGGCGCGGGCGCCGGGGAGGAGGCGGAGACGGCGACGGCGACGGCGGGCTCCGGCGAGGCGGAAGCGGCCTTGCAGGAGAGCGGGCGGCGTGAGGGCGAGAAGACTGGCGAGCTCGGGATGGCCACCGTGCAAGACATCGCGAGGCGGAGGCGGCGGGGCTAGGGTTTCCGGGCGCTCTCTCTCTGTGTGCGCCCTGCCTCTGCCTCGTCGCCGAATCCTGGTCTCGGTTGCTGGTTTGGAATGGTCTGCGGAAATGGCCGTTTGAAAGGGGAATTATATACGGGGGACCGGCCACCACGCGTTGTGCTGGACGCGCCTAACGGGAGAAATGATGGACAAGGATAAGAATGGGCTTTCGTAGTCAATGGAGACCGGCCACGAAGATGCTCTTTTGAAATGTTTTATGTTCCCTCTCAGAGAAAACGTTTCTTTTCGCTAATTCGCTTCAATGTTCAAGTACTTTTTATTCGGAATCCGGAAATACAGTTTTTTTTAAAAAAAATGGAAAGCCTCTCAGAGAACATATTAGTAGAGATTTTTTTTAAAAAAAAAAGACAGCATAGAGAAATTCCGGGACAAAAAATTCTACTAAAAACACTTCCCATTTAACTTATAAGAAACAATATCTAAATCAACTACAAACTCTCTCATTATTATCTTAATTATATATCCACGTCGGTTTAAATTATAACTAGCACTTACTTTTCATTGTTTCACCAACCACTTTTGAGTTAGGGCATTTCATTTTGGTTCCCAAGTTAAAGTTACATTGTTTGACTATGATATATGCATATAACGGCATAAAGCCAACCAAATGCAAGGTCCATAATTCTTCCGTGAGAACCCGAGTCTCTATGCATTGAAGTATTTGCAAGACGCAAGCACCAGCATTAGCAGCTTCGAAATTTCGAAATGCGTAAGAGATAGTGAAACCAAGCGTGATTTATTACTATAGTATACTGAGAAAAGAAAACGAAAGCGGCTGTTCCGGAGTGTTACACCCGGTCTCCAGTGCCCAGGTTTTCACACTGGCAAGTCCAAGGAAAAATACATCGCACGGGCCGTCGTCATATGGCACGACCACGAGAGTCGAGAAGCAAAGGAAGGAGCGGAGCCGAGGCCCAGCCCAGCCTGACGGTGGCGGCGGCGGAGCAGGTGTTAACTGGGAGGAGTGAACGGGGCGCGAGTCAAAGCTACGTTAATCCCGTGTGGGAGACCAGACAACGGGCACCACGGGAAGCAAACAAGGGCCGACGCCGATCGATCTGGCCTGGCCTGGCCTGTGGACGGCACGCCGCTCTCCGTTCCACTCGTGTCTGACGCGGTCATTAATCAATTGATTTGCTTGGAGCCTGCCTGCCCATCCGTTGCGCGGGCCGAACCGCTGCTCGCGTCGCGCACCCTTTTCCTTTTCCTCGTCCCGCGGCACGGAACACGGACGCCGCCCAACCGCTGTCCGCCACGGCGAGGGCCGGGTGGCGCGTGGAGCGGTCTCGTTGGATGCCGCCCTTCTCCCGTGTGTGGCGTGGTCGCCTGATGCAACGGGAGTTGGAACCAGGAAGGAACGTGCCGGGAAGCTGCCTGCGGGCGGGCGGGCGGTGACCTGGAAGACTTGGGGGGGATCGGGACGGGACGCTCGCGACGAGAGGAGGGGAGAGAGGCGCGACGCTGACTGTCTTGGATTGGACCAGACCCAGACGAACGTTGGAAGCAAGGCGACCCAATCACATATCGCGTCCCGTACGCGTACGAATACTACACTCGTGCAGCCTGTCTTGCCCATAGCACACTCGGCTAAGCAACCTTGCTGTTGCTGGCACAAAGCCAATGTTCCGGTTCATCGTGTCGCAGTTGGCTTCTTCTTGTTTCGTAATAATAAGGACGTTTCGCTGGGTTAGTACTATACTGTTGCGAAATCATCTTTTTACACTGAACTCAGGTTGGCGACCTGGGTTCCGGCCCCCCCTGTCAGAGCAAGGTGCCAGTTCTGGGTGGAAGAGCGAGAGTGCCCGTAGCGGCGGCGGATACGTGGAGAGAGAGAGAACAGCGAGGGCCACGTCCACGAGCCGACGGGGGCGGAGGAAATATGTATTAGCCGTTGGAACTCGTTCGTTCGCACCGTGGGCGGCTGGACCCATGCGGGCCCATCACGGTCACCCAAGGGAAACGGTATTCGTGGGCTCGTGGCCACTACTGGTCAGGGCTGACTGGCTGTGTGTGGCGGCGTGCTTATGATGCGCGTCCCGCTGCCCCGGCCGCCTGACGTATCGAATGGATCGAGACGCTTTGCTCGGGTCCGAGTCCGAGTCCGAGTCCGGATGCCAGGTACCTCCGTCAGTCTGACTCAACTTAAGGAGCATCTTCCGGGCCGGGCTCCGGCCCGACAAATGTGTACTGTGTTTGTTCTGTGGACTAGAAGGCCTAGGTCAGGGTGGGCATGGCCCAGCAGCCAGAACGAGCTGCCCGTCGCAATTCACTAGCCAATGAGGTGCCGCCCCAAAGCTTCTTCTTTCGATCGCGTATGCCTCTCGGGAGTCTCGGCTGTCGCTGGAATCCTACGACTGCGAGCGAAGTGGACCGGCTAGATGGTCATATCGCGAGATCCACCGAACCACGAATGCACGTGCAGGTGCATCCGTTCCGTAGGCACGGTACGCAGCGCCCCAGCTCTGCCTCTGCTCGTGGTTATCCGATCAACGGTCAAAAGTCCAGCAGCCCCTGCCCGGCTGCCCCCACCCCATTCCCCAAGCAATCCAACCTGGCAACCTGGGCGCTCCGCTGATGCCAACTAGCTACTGCTGCTCAGTTGGCAAGGCATGTGCGCTGCCACTTGGGCTGTTGGGCATACGAAACGTAGGCCGCTTTTAGTTCCTCTCAGCTGTTGGGCATACGAAAATGTTGACGAAATCAAAAACTAATTGCGTAATTGTACTTTCTGCAAATGACGTTTTGCGCAATTAATTAACAACAATTGAACCATTATTAGGCGCACGTAACTAAACGAGGCCGTAATCGCTGGCGCACGCATGCGCGAACGAGGAGGGAGTAGTAGGTCAACCATGAGCTCGAGCGAGCGGGGCGATCCAATGATGATGCGAGGCTCGTCTCTGTGTCTAGACTCTATAGACTCCAGACGAAGCGAGGACGTAGCTGTGGTTTTGACCGCTTTGCATTGCCTTTGCTGTCGACGACGTCGATCCTTGATGCCTGGCTCCCTGCTGCGTTGACTCGGACTGCAACTGCGAACATCATATTTTATTCGTAGTCAATAGTCCACCGGTCAAGCTTTATCCACTGAATCATGGAAGCTTTTGCTTTTTCGGCCGACTGCGCTACGTTGTCGGCGATGACTGATGGGCGATGACGGATTATGGTTGACGAAAAGCGGCGGCCGACTGCACCATCGACCGAACTGCTCTGTTTTTGTTTTTGTTTTTTTAATGAAGAAAAGTGCTGTGAATCCCATATTCCGATGGACAAATTCTAGCCAGTTTTTTAATAACAATTCTAGCCACTTAACCACATCTCATAAAAATAGGGATTTTCATCCATGGACACTGTCGATAAAATATGGTTGGCAGTCTACCGAAGTGTATGCTCACGATAGTAGATGAATCGGTACAGGTGCACGTAATAGGAACCGGATGGTAACACAAGGCGCAGAGACAGCGATTTAGACAGGTTCGGGCCGTCTGATCGACGTAATACCCTACGTCATGTGCCTTTGTTAGATTGTATTGAATGTATTGAATATGAGATGAATTCGAGGGGTCCCTACCCGCCTTATATAGTTTGGGAGGTAGGGTTACCAGTCGGTTTACCCCTAAATCTATTCGGTTATATGGTAAGTATTTACAAGGAATACGATACCTATCATATTCGAAAAGATCTTCTTTCATCGTCAAAATGTCTTCTGATTGTCTTGCGGTGCACGCCGACCAGAACTGGGCACCGTAGGCCTTGATCTTATGGGCTAGACCTTCCCTGGCGGTGTGGCCCATGTCCATTGCAGTGGGTACCTAGGGTTATACCCCCCACAGCTAGTCTCCGAGCGTCTTGTATCCGCTGAGCAACGCCGTCTTGAGCAATTCCGAGCAGTTTAACTTGGAGTCAGCCAGCAAATCTGCCATTCCGACCAGTTTAACTGGTAATCCAATCAACAAAACGAAGTGTCAACTAATTTAACTGGTAATCCAACCAGTTTAACTGGTAATCCAATCAACAGAACGAAGTGCCGACCAATTTAACTAGTAATCCGACCAACAGAACGAAGTGTCGACCAGTTTAACTGGTAATCCGACCAGTTGAAATTGAAGCCAGCCAATTTAACTGGTACGCAGATCTCGGACTTAGCCAAGTAAGGCTTGCCAGAATGATGTAAGGAGCTCAAGTTTAAAATTTAAACAATTCTCCACCTTTGATGAAGTGTACACACTTAGGCTTCGTTGGCGAAGTCAGATGATCATCATCCTTGACTTAGTCAAAGAGGATGTTAGTATCGATACATGCGCCGCTAGGTGCAATGTATACATTGTAGTCCCCGAGCCTGACAGTAGGTGAAAAAAACACCCGGTGTTATAATCAAAGAATATCAACGATCACTTAGTTAGAATAACCGACTCCTAGCTTAGCCGAGCACACAGCTAGTCCCTAGCTAGCTGAAAACCAGTAAGGAGAAAAAATAGTACACTCATCGTAAGGTGAAGTGTACACACTTAGTCCTCAAGCCTGCTGTAAGATAGAGAAACATCTTGTAGCAGGATCAAAGAACACTATTAATATTGAGATCAAATAATATATTTTCAGCTTAGCTGTGAAAATTACACTTACCGCTAGGTGAAATATGCACACTTAGTCCCTGAGCCTGCTATGTAAGATAAAGTTGCATCTTGTAGCAGGATAAAAAAAAATAAGTGTAGAGGACGAAGTCCCCGTGCTTAGCACTGGGCATGTGGAGTAAAACTCGATAATATCGTGTAGTAAAACATGGAGAAAACGGAAAGTGCTTAGCACTGGATTCCTACGATAGATATACTTATCATAACCCTTGACATGTCACCCAAGATCAATACCCTAATCTGGACAGCATAGAAAACCTTGATATCACACATGACATGCAGCGTCGGTAAAACGTAGT